TTTACTTCCTCCTCCTCCTCCTCCTCCTCTCTCTCTCTCTCTCTCTCTTTCTCGCTACTCCTTAACCAAGGGAACAGTTTGCTGATGCGTTTAATATTACAGTATGCTTAAAAAGAGGGTGGAGAGTAGAGCAAGGGGAAATAAAATTGGATGTGCCGAGCGTGGCTCGTGAAAATTGCGAGTGCTTAGTATTCCAGGGTTAATTGTTTCCAACGAGAGGGTTGAAAGTTTTTCCTTCATTCAGAGGAACTTCTCGATTTGCAGCGGCGCTGGAAAAACTACCCTTCTTGCAACTATTAGCAGACGTGTCAAAGGTTCATAAGATGATTCATTTATTTTGTTAGCTTGTATCCAAAAAATTTTGAAAAAAAATTTTAATCCTTTGGTTTTCTAAACAATAGGTTTTTAGCAGTATTTTTTTTTTTCATTTTCTTAATTTTTATTTATGTTATGTTGTATACATTACATCATATCATATCTATATTTTCTCTCAACTTCTCTTTTCTCATTTGATATTGAAATGAATAATTTAATTCAATGTATTCCAAGTCTATTTCAAATTTCTTTATATCCAAAATTATTTTTATATAGATAATAATATAAATAATAATAATTTTTAATTTTTTGGCTGGTGACTTGGCTTTTGCTTTTTAATTTTTAATTTATGAATTATTTATTATTATTGAAGATATCATTCTTTTTAGTTCATTATTAGAAATCATAGCAAAGAAGAATATTAATAATGTAGTAATAAAATTAATGCATTAGTTTATGTATTAATTTTGTTTGAATGGTTTTGCTTCATTCTAGCTTAATTAAATAATATATATATATATATACTATATTTTATTTGTTTGTATATTTATTCTTAGAAAAATTTGATAAATTATTTTTACATTTAAAAAATTATCTCTTTTATATAATATTACTCCAAAAATCTAAGTTCAGTAAAACATTTTTCCTTTACATTTACATAAAATTCCAATTTTAATATAAAGCAGAAGATAATGTAACAGATATAATTTTATAAAATTAGAAAAATAGGAAATTTTCTTTACTCTTTTACAATTTTTCCAATCAAAACAAAGAGATGTTTGGTCGATGTGTTTTCAATAGGCAAAGCGACAGGTGACGTCTTGCTAAATGGGAAGCCTATCGATACCGAGCAGATGATAAGGATATCTGGATTCGTTCCACAAACGGACTTGGCAATCGAATCGCTGACAATCCAAGAGCATATGGAATTCATGGTTCGTCCAATTACAATAGCCTAATTAATTTTACAATGGCTCTTGAGCCTTTCACGTTCCAATTACATTCCTTTAAGAAATTTTCTGGTTCTCAGAATGATGTGAAGATATCCTTTTCGATACGATCCTTTTCAGCTTTTATTATAAATAGATAAAAATAATAATTGATCCATTGATAGAGCTAAAATTATCCAAATATGCAGATAATGATGGATATTTAAAAATCTGAATATTTATATGTATTATTTTTGTTTTAATTTTTTTTTTACTTATTAATATATATATATATATATATACATACATTGATTGAAATTATTGAAATACACACATCATCATTGAAATTATTAGAAAATTTTTAATAAATGATATTTGATCCATCAGAAGAATAGTAAGATTGAAAGATTCTTATTTTAAATTATATTATTCCCATTTATAAATGGGAAATGTTTCAATTAAATGAAGATATAGAGGTGTCGAAAGTGTTTCTTTGATAAGTAATATTTCACGACCGACAGAAGTCCGTAAATCCAATCCCTCCCCCATTAATCACATTCACTTTAATGGACGATGGCGGTAGAATCTCGGTGAAACACGATCGAATCGTGAATAAACCGGTAACTGGTCAAAGTTTATGGGACGGTTCACGATACAGGGGATCGAATAATCGATTTCGATAAACTCGTATCGATCAACAGTTAACGATTTTAAATAATTGCCTCTTATTCGGGATCGATAAAGTGATTTATATCGCGTATAAAGCATAATATCCTGATTCGTTACACGTATAATAGAATGAAATTGCATGACTGTGACAGATCGAGATCCCTGTAATTGAATTTAATGAAACAGGGATTCCTTTGTTGGGGATATCGTGCTCCTCCGTTTATCGAATTATACCCGATTGAAAAAGAATTCATAGATCATCACATTTTTTTATTCTTTTATTCTTTGTATTTCTCTTTTCTTTAAGACTATTTACATACAAAAGTGCGAAGAATTTTTTTAAATACATCACATTCACTTAATTTCAATATTATTTCCAATGCTTATCTGGTGAAAGTAGAAATAAAAATTATTTATCTTCCCGTTTGGTATCCAATCATATTGAAAAAATTTAGAATTGTATTACAAGAAGAAATAATTTCAAAAATGTTACTAAATACTAGTTAATAAATAATTTCAATTTTTCATATTATCCAAAGACTCAAGGTCAAATTTCCAGAGTGAAACTTCGTCTAAAATTCAATATTTCATTTTCCGTGGTGAAAAATTCATTTCGTGTTTCCATTGAATGGAAAATTTAAGCGAGAATTTTATGAACTTTCGTGTATAACTTTTAACTTAAAAAGCTTTATCAATGTTCAACTGACCATCAGCATTTGACTAATTCGTTTAAACGTTGAATGATTGGATTTCGGGCCCATTAAACTTGTTCTTGGTCGATCAAGGCGTGCATGAAAATGGACAGAAGGCTGAGGGCCAACTTCAGACGGCAACGTATAACGATTCTGTTGAGAGAACTTGGCCTGGCAAAATGCACCTTCACAAAACTATCCGCTCTGTCTGGTGGTGAGAGGAAACGTGTCACTCTGGCTGTTGAGGTAAGTTAATTATTTCTATTAAAAAATTAAAAAAAAAAAAAAGGAAATTGAGGGGAAAGGAAGTTCAATTTAATTTCAAGTTTTCGAAAAATTTTAAAGTTCTCAAGGATGGAAGATCAAATATAAAATTTTTTTATATTAATTTTGGAAGTTGAAGGAATATCAGAAATTTTCGAAGATAAAAAAAATTTCAATTGTTGAGATCTCAAAGATTCGAATTCCATCCCGATCTGAAAAGTCAGGAATGAATGCATCATAAAAATGCAATGATAAAAGCAAATGAAACAATTCAAAGCTCTGATAACATAAAGTAATACGCGTATTTGTCTTATCTATTGACAATTATCTATCATTCTTAATTATCGCACGTAAATTCACGAGTGAAACATTCATAAATCTCATAATAATAAGATTTTCAACTTTCAAATTTTGAAAACAAAGAGTTAATACACAAAAATATCGTTTAAAACTTACACATTAAATTATGCAATTGAAGTTTATTCGAGATGAGGCAAGACAGGGCCATTTGCCTCATTCTCCGTCTTGCTTTATCTAACGTAAATTTCAATCGATATTTTTGTATACTAAACTGTACTTTTGAATCGATTTTATCATATCAATTGTATACATATGCATCAATTAATATTTTATAGGACGAAAAATGTGTTAGAAGATTCACGTTTAATATTGGCTCGCAAAAATTCCTTAATATGAAATACACATAGAGTAGAGAATTTTTCCAGCTACTCACCGAGCCGAGCATTCTCTTTTGCGACGAGCCAACTACCGGGTTGGACAGCTATGGTGCCATGACTGTGGTGAGGACGCTCAGGGAAGTGGCGGCCAGCGGAAGGATAGTCATTTGCTCGTTGCATCAACCTGCTTCCGGTTTATTGGAGATATTCCACGAGGTTTTACTACTCTCTGGTGGTAGAGTCGCCTTCCAAGGCTCCTCTATAGATGCCACGGAATTTTTCGATAGGTTCGATTGTAATATTTATTGTAATATTTGTTATTTAAATTAAGTTTAATTATTCTGAATTTATTGTTTTATTTAGCATAGAAATTTGAAATGAATTGAGAATGAATATTTAAACTTGCATTCGGTGTTAATTTAAATTGGCATGTTATTTAGGTTTTTTAAAGGAAGATTATACAATTTGTAAAGTTAATTTTTATGATATCTGTATTCAGTTTCGAAGTTTTTTCGTTAAAATTTTAAGATTTTTATCACTTCTTCAAACTCATTATTTTTAAGGAATTAACAATATAAATATAATATTTTTCAAAATTAATTCTTAGAAATCATAAAAAGTCACTTAATCCTTTTTCTTAATGTAATTTCTTTTCACGATAACTTGAAGGATTGAAAATTTACAAATATTATATAAAAGAGGATCCAATGATCTCAAAATTTGAAATAATTATTTTATTAACTTATTATTTTTTTATATATATAATTTACAGCTTGAATCTTCCTTGTCCTCCAACTTTCAACAGTGCCGAATTCTACGTTTCTCAGTTATCCATTATTCGTGACAAAGAGGCTGAGAGTTATAGAAAGGTATTCGAAACAAAAATTGATAAAATCAAAAAATTCGCAGCTTCTTCCAATTTATGAAGATATATTTATCCTCATAGCATTTAAGTAATAAAATAATTCATTTTATGCTATATTAAAAAATTGACATGATTGATTTTTCGATTGGACAAATTATAGCAATTCTCTTATAATAAAGTTTAATAATATATATTGTTTAAAAACTGTAATTTCTTTTTTTTTTCTTTTTCTTCAAGTTTATATTTTACTTAAAAATATCACTCCTGGTATGAAAGACCATTTTTGGTAATACAATTTAACATCTAAATTTTCTAAAACTATATTTTTATATAATTCTTATGTATTATAGAAAAATTATTTATGATAGAGATGTATCTCTAATTTAATTACAATTAAGCAACGCCGAAATCAACAAAGAAATGAATTTACGAAATTTTATGGAGTAAATTCTTCTTCTTGGTATCTATTTCGTTAAAAATAAAGAATTATTTCGACTGCGGTCAGAAAGTGAAATTAAGATGAACGTGTGTGCAGGTGAACTGGATCTGTGATCAATACGAGAAATCGAAATACGGTCTGAGGGTGTCGAAATTGATCGAATACTCTTGCGTCACAGAGTCCATGGAGCTGCCTTCCATATTTTCAGACGTCTCTTTATCTCTGAAAAATTTCAAAAAAGCTCGGCTTCTGACGCAATTGCACTGGCTCGTGTGGCGCATCTATCTCGACTACAAGAGGAATTACACGACTCTTTTCTTGCGATTCATAACGTACATGGTAAGTTGTCGTTAGCTCTGCTTCCCTTTTGACCAACGTTAAGTCGTCTGATCCCCTTCCGGTTGCTCCTCCGCTTTTGTGCTTTAATTGTTCCTCCATCATAATCTCGGCCATTGTTGCAGAAGCTTGTGCTAAATTAAATATTAAATTGAAGGAAAAATTAATCTCTTGAGGGATGAGCATATAATTAAAGTAGAGAATGTAATATAATACAATAATGCACATAATAAGAATAAAATAATTATTGTTATTTTATTGTAGGCAGTTAATAAAGTTAGTTGGTTTTTATTTTATTACTTATAAAAAGAATTAATGGAATATATTTAAATTGAAATTTAAATTGATCCAAATCTCTTTGATCTGGACTATTATTTATGATGAATTTTGGATCATTATGTGAATTGAATTTTATTTTTATGAAATTATGGAAAAATTTACACTAGAATCTGTGAGAATATTTTTTAATTAAAAATTTAAACGGAAAAGATATGTGTTAATATTTTTTAAAATCCATATTTTTATTCCTTGTTTTTTTGTAAATTTTGATGATACAATTTTATATGTATTTATCACATTTAATAAAAATATTTCAATTCTTTTTTATTTATTATTACAGTAGATTATTATATATTGATCAGATAAAAGTTTTCTGATTTATTATAAGTTATTCTACTTAATAGTTCTACTATTCAAATTTCAAATTTTTAACAAATGATTCGAATACTTTTGTAGATTATATTTATAATCCTTAAATTCCAAGTTAAATCATTTATTAAATTATTTTAATTCCAATAAAATCCAATATCTGCAGACTGAATTATACAGTGTTCTATTTGAATATATACATATATTCTATTTTAAAAATAGAAGAACACTGAAAATTGTATCATTTCCTTTAGAAAAATAAATTTCTACAAAAGACTTTCCAATATTATCTGAAAGATAAAAAGAGCGTAGAATTTCAAATATATCTTGAAAAATGATAGATATTTTTAATTAGAAAATAGATAGGTATTGTTTCTTTAATTTGTATGGATTTCTTCCAATTTTTCCCAATTTCATCCATTTTTAAATTCTCATAAAAATCGACAAACGGCTTTTTAAAGTGTATAGGAGTACTGATAGGGTTGCCCTTTATGAACATCTCGGGACAAGCGATGAATCAAGACACTATACAGAACATGCAAGGTCTTTTATACTTGGTGGTCGTCGAGACGGTGTTCACCTTCAATTATGCCGTTTTCTATACATTTCCAAGGGAATTGCCACTTTTATTACGCGACATCGCTAGTGGACTCTATGGTCCAGCTCCATATTACATCAGCAAAGTTATCGTTTTGGTGAGATTTATTTGATAAGTGTTCGATTATTGTTGATCTTTATATCAAAATATTTTTACCATTTATTTTTTCCAAGATATATTATTTAAATAAACAATTTACTTTTTATGTATAAAAATAGCAAATCAGTAAATGAGAATCTTATTCAAGTTATTTTTTGAAAATTTTTTTGATTTATAATACACTTAAGTTTAAGAACGTTAAGTTTGTCATGTTAATGTTATATAAATACTATAATCTAAATAATAGATCCTTTTTATATTGTTATTTAGCATTTGGTATTTTAAGAATCTTAATAATATATCGATTTTAGTTGAACTGATTGATTTCTCTCCATTTGCTTCTTTAAACATATTCCTTTATGCCATTATTTATGATTCTTTTTTATATTCTTTTATTTTATTTTCATATTTTATATTTTTAAATAAAAGCAATTAATTATATTGTATTGATTGAAAAATAAATTTTTGAATCAGAAAATCGCGAGTACAACATAACTTGGCAGAATTATAAAAATTATATGAAATAAGTGAACGTTAAACAGGACAATTATTATTAAATGATAAATCTAAATTAAAAAAAAATATAGATAAAAATATAATAAAATAATAAGGTAATTATTGAAACAACAATTATAAAATTCTTTGTGCTAAGAAAAATAAATTTTCGATGAGTAGAGAAAGATTATAATTTAATTGTACATCGGCCCCTTCATGCTTTCGAGATATTATGTTGCCTCGTTGAATAGAGGTGGAATCCAATTTCCGATTTCAATGTACGGATAGTAGATTTGGTGGAAATTTTCAGATACCTGGGGCGATAATACAGCCATTGCTGTATTCAGCTTTCATATTCGCAATCACGGGGCTGAAGGGTGGACTTTTAGGATTCGTTTACTTCGCACTGCCGGTTGTTGTCTGCGCCATTTCAGCATCTGCTTTTGGTGAGCATCCACTTGCTCGGCAAAAGAAGAAGAGGGGAATATGGAAGAGAAATAAATCGATTTTTGTTGAAGGAAAAATAATGATAAAATTTGATAGTAATAAAAAAGGGAAGAAAGTAATGGAGAAAAAAAAAATAAATAAAATCAATTTACTTGCTGCATTGTTGTATAATTGATAAATATTTATACGTTTAAACATAATTCCAAAAATTATAGGAAATTATTTTATATTGGGAAATTAATTTTTTTACAAGCTTGGGATAAGCTTTTTTAAAATTAACGATCTATAATTTTTTATGGATCTTTACAAAATAATTTTTCGAAAGTTGCAATCATTTTTATTTACATAAATTTATATAAAATAATTTACAATAAAAATTTCAAACGTTTATTTTTTTCTACACATCTATGCGAGAATGTATTAAATTATAAATATCGTATAAACTTAAAATATTAGAAATGTTAAAGTAGATTTTTGTATTTGTTTCATCTTATTAAATTTTTATATTAATTATATAAGAAATGATTTTTGAATTTTATGTAATTATAAGATGAAGGATAGAATAGCGTATTTAGCTATTATAAGAGTGTCATATCTCAGGAAGCGTTGAAAAATATTGGTCTAATTATATAACCAATAATATGACTGATAAGGACGATGTGATTTTTTTAAACAGGTTTATTTTTATCGGCGTCGTTCAAATCGATGGAGACGGCATCTCTATTTTCTGTGCCATTGGACTTTCTTGGTCTGATGTTCTGCGGGATCTATTTACATTTGGGGTAAGAGAAAAAAGAAAACAGTTAAAAATTTTATCAAGTAGAATTTGATTGTCAAAATTTATTTTATATATAGATTAATCAAATTGGTAACAATTTATTTTTATGATCCATTACTTAATAATACTCTCAAGATATCTTCTCAAATATCAAATTTAAATGTCACAGGTTTAATATTGTCGAGTGAAATTGATTAAAGAAAAAAAGAAGAAATATCAAATATATTATTGCAAATTTATTATTGCAAATTCTATTAAAGAGTAATGAGTAATGATGGAAAAAGGAAACGTTGGAAATTTTTCCAGATATTTGACGCCTGGTATCGCTTGGTTGAAATATCTATCGCAATTCTATTACGGCCTCGAAGCGGTTTCCTTGACGCAATGGCTTCTGATCGATCATATAAGTACGTAATTGCTCGTTGAAATCGATTAGATTTACTATTATCTCTTTATTTTTCATTTTATTGTATAAATTGTTTAATTGTATAGGAAATATTTGCTTGATTGTAATTATTAAATATTAGAGGATCGATGAAAATGTGAAAGAAAAATAAAGAATTATGGATTTTTTAGTTTTTACGAAATAAAAATTGGAAAATAACAATATAAAGAAGTTTTAAGGGAAAATTATTTATTTTTACATGAGAAAAGGTTTAATATTTTTTTATTTAAATATAACTTTTTAATTAATCTTTTCTTTTTAGAAATAAGATAATTATATACCATTAAAAATTTTCTTGTAATTCTTCAAATTTTTTTACATCGCTTTTCGCTATGCAATTTGAAAAAATATTACGTAAATATAAATATATCAAGCGTATAAAAATTAATTATAATTGGAATTAGAAAATATTTTTCAACACATTTTATGTTCAAGATTGTTCTTCAGATCCGGAAGAGCCGTGTATTTCCAGCGGACTAGGGGTTCTAGAGAAATATGGTTACTTGCCAACTCATTACACCATGGACATAATTGGTCTTTTAGTAATTTTTTCGTTCAGCCATCTAGCGGGTTTTCTGGTAATCAGGCACAGAAGTCGCAAGGAACCTGTTTATTAAATATTTCACTCTTAATTAATTTAAGTTACCTATATTTTTCTTCTTAAATTTATTTTATAAAAATGCACAAATTTTTATATAATTCATTTGTATTACCATTTCTAAATTTATATAATTAATTAAAGAAATAATTAAAATATCTTGCTCTCAAAGTAATTGAAATCATTTTTCGATTTCATTTAGATTAACAATTTATAAAACATTTTTGACATGTACTAAAATGTTTGTAATATACAAATAACATTGGCAATTTTAATATTTTAATTATTTTAATTAATTATTATGTATTTTATGTATTAATGAAAGTAATATAGTAATAGGTGAAAGGTTATGAAAGTAATATTATAGTATATAATTTATAAATTATTTTATGTAAAATAATTGTATTATTGTTATTTATAATATCGTTTGAATTTTTCTCCTCCTTCGTAGGCCGAAATATCCAATGATATTCATTGCAATTGTTAAAGTCACGAGACCGCTCATATCCCAAATAAGATTGGTCTCCTTGAATCCATATTCCGACAACACTTGTTCTCCATTTTTTAAACAGGGCAAATCGCTAGATACTTGGCAATCTGTAAGAAAATTAGTTGAAATAAATTAATGATTATTTTTAATAAATTCTATTCCATCTAAAAAATCGAAATTTTGATCGAAGTCACTAAAATTATAAATAAATCATCAGATCTTCATAAAGAAAAATGTAAATTTTGAATAAAATATTGATTTTTCATAATGCGTTTCGCTGTAAATTTTGATTAATTTAATATTCGAAATCATCAGGGGAAAAAAATCACTAGAAATTGAAAGAAAAAATACAAATATTTTTATCGAGTATATTTTAAATTTTTAAATTTTGATCAATATATGAAATATCTATGTTGATGACTATGTCTATCACGATTGAACGCAATTAAAATGTTAATATTTTTTTGCCTTAAATAAATACGTAAAAAAGAAAAAAAAATCATAAATCAAAATTCAAATAAACATTGAAATTTGAATCGAATTAAAATTTTCTGCTCTCGAAATGGATGTAAAACATATCAAATTATAACTTGATTGAAATATCTCGCTTCAGATAAATATCTCTGCTACGGACAATTCTCCAGATGACATTGCGAGAGAGAATAATTTAATCAACGATGCAATGTACTCACCGATGTCGTCTATTCGTGACCAATAAATTATGGAAAGAGCTTCGTTCAGGTAAAAGAATATCGAGAAATATTTAAAACACGTCAGATACGTAGGCAGCGACCTGAAAATATCAACGTGTCAGTTTTATAGGTCATCGACTCGTAAAAAAAAGTTACGGGCTCGTTTTCTAACTGTGTACAAGCTTTTTATCGTCTGTTTAATTTTAAACATTCCAACGAAATAGTTATAAATTTTTAGTAAATTCATTTCTTCAAGCTATGCCACATTTATATATAAAAAAAAAAAAGGAAATATCACGTTCATGTTTAATTATTAATTCGTGCATCTGTGAAAAATTCAAAGTTGCAAAGATATAATTATTTTTTTATAATCTTTAAATAAAATTATCAAATGTGATATGTTCAATTTGGTAACAAAAATTTATATCGTTCGTTTGAAATTGTAGTTTTATATAATAAAAATTTGTATATATATATATATATATATATATATTCTTATTTTATTTTATGTGTATATATAATAC